CCTGTATGTGCACACACACACCATCACATACCTGTATGTGCACACACACACCATCACATCCCTAATGCCCAACAGGGCCTGGAGCTTTTCTCTTTCTATTCCCTGCCCCCCCCCCCCACACACACACTCAGACAGTGTCTCATCCCGTCACTCTGAGTAGAATACCGTGGCATCGTAGCTCACAGCAACCTCAAAATCTTGGGCTCAAGTGATCCTCCTGCCTCAGCCTCCCAAGTAGCTGGGACTACAGGCACCCACCACAATGCCTGGCTAGGTTTAGAGACAGGGTCTTACTCTTGCTCAGGCTGGTCTCAAACTCCTGAGCTCAGGCAATCCACATACCTCAGCTTCCCAGAGTGGTATTACAGGTGTGAGCCACCTCTCCCGGCCCTTGGGCCTGGAGCTTTTCAGAGCTGATGTTCAATAAATAGATGTCAAATGAATAAATGATTATGCCAGAGAGCATGAAGCTGACTGTGCCAAGGAAATGAGTGTTTCTTTGAAATACCAGATATAATGGAATCTAGGAGCCTCATGGAGATCAGCTGAAGCTTAGATGTTAGGAGATTTTACACGGGTGAACTCTGGCATGAAATTAATATATAAAGGTAGATTTCAGATGCCTGGAGCCATCTTAAAGGACATGACTTTACAGATGTGTCCTGGAATGTGAACTGTACCAAAAAACTTCCAAATAAGTTCTGGGAACTTTATTCTGATTTCTTCCAGAAGTTTTTAATCTTTTCTTCAACCTTTGAGCTGAGCCTGAACACCCAGTGTAAGTGTAGAATTGGTCTCGAGTCATCAAAAACATAAGTTGCTTCTTGGGTTGCAGTAAAGATCTGGTAATTTGTTTTAAACATTCATTTTTAAGGAAAATTAAATAGAGGTGAATTTTTCATTGACAGTGAAATATATACTAAGCCGTGGATTAATATGTTCATAAAAATTTATCTAAACAAAGTACTGCCTGTCTTATTTATGTTAAAGCCTGTAAAGTCTGCAGTGAAAGGGGAAAGTACTTTCCTGGAATATATTTGTATCTGTCACAAGCTGCATCTTGAGGAAATTGGCAGGCATTTGAAGTGGAATAATTCCTTAGAGTTCTGTTTAGTTTGGATTTCTTCAATTCAGGGATGGCTTAAAACCAGAATCACCAATATTTGCTTTCAACAAGCATCTAACATTTTCTCTTGCTTTGTGTGTATTAAGTGCTCAATAAATGTTAGTTAAATTGAAACATCTCATTCATCCCTTTCTTGGGTCTGTCAGGGTTATTCAGTCTATTGTTACATATAGAAGAATTCTAAAAGGAAAAAAAATCTCCAAAATGACCTCTCCACCGATAGTTTCTCTCATCTTCCAACTCCTTGTACACAAAACTACTAGAGCTAGCTTTCTGAAATGCTTCTTGGATCCCTCTGTAGTCTGCCAAATTCTATGGAGTGAACCAGAGGCTCCAGTCTCCTCTCCCCCGCTCCTCCCTGTTTACCAGGGAGCCTGTTCTAACCACAGTGGTGTTGTGCACAGCCACTTGGGCACACTCTGCTTCTGTGCTTTCTCTCAGGGGCTGCTCCCACGTGGGATGCCATCCCCTGACCTCTCGGCAAGTCCTATTTCATCAGTCAGGGCTCAGCCTTAAGTCTCCCACCTTCTGGGAGGACTCCCCCAGCCAACTGAGTTTGACTATGGTGGTGGGGGGGGAAGCTGTGTGATTGTCTGCAGTGCATTTTTAAACAGAAAATAGAGTGATCTTCATATACACTGTCAGTACCCTTTACAAATGTGTGAAAACAGCCAGCTGCTGTCTAATCTTTTGAAGAAAATAAGATCCAATTAACGTTGACTTTTACGTTGGGAAAGCCAAGGGTTTCATAGGAATTCCTTTCACTCATTCAACAGCTATTTTTTTAGCTTGTGCTAGGCACTGGGGTGGGGGTGGGGCAGACAAAAAGACCTGCCTTCAGGAGGCTGAAGCTCAGATCTACATGGTGTTGCTCAGGCTTTGCTCTCTGCCAGGGACCACAGCTGAAGCGGGCAGGGAAGATGAAAAGTGTGGCTTGATCCTGGGCTGCTCATCAGGGAGCAGGGAGGAGCTAGGAGGTCAGTGGCAGAGAGCTTCCAATGCCATGCTTGGAGTTGGCTTGGCTACTTTTTGTTGTAAGGTTGATAATGAAGAAGCTCAAAATAGGAACAGCGGCATCTGGAAGCAGCTGGAGGTCTCTGTAGTAGAGGAGGGGTGCCAACCAAAAGCCCCTCAGCAATCAAGATATGGGCAATACCAAGTAACAAATGTTTATATTTGAATGATTCTGGGATAGAGTTTCCTCAACTGGTCATCATCCCTAGACCCTCGCATCTCGGCCTCAGCAGAAGCCAGGACCCTCACTAGCAGCACATCCACCACCCCCTCCCACTGGACTTTTACTCCAAGGAAAGGTGGCAGAGGTGACCCAGGTCTTGTAAATCACCCCACTCACATCATCTCTTCTCTCAGTGGGGTGGCAGGTTGTCAGGACTGCTTGCTCAAATGGCTGCCAGATGACCCTTCTTGCAAAGGGGTGGGGTGGGGAAGGAACGCCCATTCAGCAAGGCAGTGCCAGGAATTGTTCTTGGCCATCCCAGAAGCAGCGACCTGGATGGAAACCCCTGTCATCTCTCATATGGAGGACAGTGCCTGCCAAAGAACAAAAGTCCGAGATGTGTCAAAGAACCTAGTAGGAAGGGAGGAGGAAGTGACGGTTGACACTACCCACCGGGGCGAGCCGTGGGGCCCAGCTAGACTGTAGGAGCTGGCCTGAATCCAAGAATCACCAAGCCAGTCTCAACCCGACAAACGTCTGGGAGCCCAAGAGTGTGGTGTAGAAGGGGTGGCCCTGCCCTGTGGGGGACCTGCTTGGGGTCGGCCTAGCGGCTGCGTGGCACAAACCGCCGCAGGTGGGCTTGAGGTTGGGCCTCAGACCACCGAAAACCTCCCTGGAAGTTGGACCCCTTCCTGGAAGCAACATCTGGCAAGCACCTTCCTCACTGTGAGGCTAGGCCCGCCTGGGCCCGAGCGGCCTGGGCACCTGCTTGGGTCTGGGGGCGGCGTCACTGGCAGCCAGGCCGCTCGGGCCCTGCGGGCCAGGCCTGCTCGAAGCTGGCTTAGCGGGGCCTGCTCTGTGGGGCCTGCCCGCACCTTCCCGCCCTGCCGGGCCGGCGCCCCCTCGCGCCCCGGGCGGGCCC